TGACCTAAACGCTTTCGACATCCCGATCCCTCGCACCTACGCTAAGGCTACCTTGGGACCCTGGGACTTTCAATGGATAGCTGCCATGGAGCAGGAGATGGCATCTTGGAGATCCACTTGCACCTACGTCAACACAGTTCCCCCACTTGGAGTGAACGTAGTCGATGGCCGGTGGCTCTTCAAGGTGAAGCGCCCCCCTGGAGAGCCGCTTGTGTTTAAGGCATGCTTCGTGGCTAGAGGCTTCAGTCAGCGTGAGGGGGTGGACTTCTTTCAGACCTTCGCACCAACCCCAAAGATGACTACTCTTCGGGCGCTGCTACACGTAGCAGCACAGCATGACTACGAGTTACACTCCCTCGACTCCTCCACTGCCTTTCTTCAGGGCAGCCTACACAAGCAGGTCTACCTGCGCCGCCCTCAAGGCTTTACTGGCACCTTCCCTCCAGGGACCCAGTGGCTCCTGCGGCGCCCAGTCTATGGCCTACGACAGGCGCCCCATCAGTGGCACGACACGCTGTGTGCTACTCTAGCTGACCTACAGTTCTTTCCGTCCTCGGCAGACCCCTCGCTCTTCGTTCGTGCTGGCCAGACCCCGATCTACATCCTTGTTTACGTAGACGACTTGGTCTTCGCTACTGCAGACAGGGACGCACTGGCCTCCGTGAAGGCCGAGCTGCTAAGAGACACACCTGCACTGACCTAGGAGAAATGCGCCGCTAGCTTGGCCTCCAGGAACAGAGCAGCGCGCACCATCACTCTCTCACAGTCACACTTGGTGCACCAGGTTCTTCAGAGGTTCGGTCTTCAGTTCTCCTCAGCACAGCCCACACCTCTACCAGTAGATCACAGGCGCTCAGCTCCAGTTCGTGAGGAGTCAGTAGAACCCAGTGGTCCTTACGCAGAGTTGGTGGGTTGCCTCACGTACCTGATGACTTGCACTCGCCCAGATCTCGCCCAGGCTCGCTTTGTGGCCATAGGCAGACACTGACCATAGCATTGGTCGGCCGCTAAGAGGGTTTTGCGTTATCTAGCGAGTACATCAGGCATGGGGCTAGTGCTAGGAGGACGCAGGCCAGTGGTCCTTACTGGGCACACAGACGCTTCTTGGGCAGACGACGCTGAGACCCTTAGGTCCTCGGTTTCGTTTCGAGGCTACTGCTTTAGCCTTGGTTCAGGTGCCGTTTCGTGGAGAGCTACCTGCTCCTCGTCTATTGCCCAGTCCAGCTGTGAGGCTGAGATCTACATCGGTGCCATGGGGGCACAGGAGCTCCGCTGGCTGGCCTTCTTGCTTACCAACTTACAGTAGGTGAGCGGCCTAGCTCTGCCCCGGTCCTATACGCTGACAACAGGGCCATGATCCTCCTGTGTCAAAGCCTTGTCGTGAGGGCAGAGCGAAGCATATCCAACTGTGGTACTTCCTCCTGCACGAGCTACAGCAGCGCCGCCAGGCCCGCGTAGTATACTTGGCCTCTGGTGCCAACAGAGCTGATATCTTAACGAAGGCGCTTGCGCCTAAAGATCATCAGCGGCACTGTGTACAGCTTGGTCTTGTTCCTGTAGCCTCTCATTTGCTAAGGCCTTGATTGTGTACAAACCTTTATATATATTACCCTGACTGGCCTTGTGGCCTCTCCCAGTGGCTGGACTAGTAGTGCCGCCCTGGTCCTGATCTTGCCTTGATCTGGTAACTGGTTTTTAGACCCTTGCCTCAGAGGCTGGACTAGTAGTGCCACCCTAAGCTGCATGTCTCTCACCAGGCACTACCCCTATACAGTCTAGGGGGTGTGTCAAACATATCTGAGTATGTTGTTGTAGACTATATAAGGTTATGCCTTAGAGGGTACAACCCACTGGCTATATTCCCTTGTACTCACCCTTTTTAGTCATTCAATTATTCGAACAATCATGAGTAGGTTAGGTTCACCCACCCGCTTCCGCCCAGCGCCCTAGCCTACCGCGCCTCGTCAGCCCCTAGCGCATCTGCCAGCCCCCTTCGAGCCTAGCCGGCCCCTTCGCGCCTAGCCACCCCTGGCGGCTAGCCGGCCCCTTCGCGCCCAGCCGGCCCCTCACGCCTAGCTGCCCCTCGCGCCCAGCTGTTCCCTTCGTGCCCAGGCGGCTCCTCTCACGCCGCAGCCGGCCCCTTGCGCTGTAGCCGCCCCCCTCGCGCCCTTATCGGCCCCTCGCGCATAGCCGGCCCCTTCGCGCCCAGCCGGCCTCTCGCGCCTAGCTGGCCCTTTCGCGCCCAGCCGGCCCCTCTCGCGCTGCAACCAGCCCCTCGCGCCTAGCCGGCCCCTCGCGCTTAGTCGGCCCTTCCTGCGTCGTCGCTGGTCCCTCTCGCCTAGCTTACCCCTCCTGTGCACCACCGGCCCCACGCGCCTTGCCAACCCCTCTCTACGCGCCAGCCGTTCCCGCACCTGCCCGGCCTCTCGCACGCCTGGCCGGCCCCTCGTGTGCCTCGGCTCCTCACGCGCCCACCGGTCCACTTGCGCCCTCCTCGGCCTTCCGCCCGGTCTCCGTTCCGTAGAGTCCTGCTGCCACGCCGCTGCATCGCCGTGCAGCTGAGTACCTGTGTCCATGTGCCGCTGTGCCGCAGTGTCCCTGTGTCGCTGTGCCGCTGTGTCCCGGTGAGGTGCCTCCGTGTGCCCAAGCTGCCCAAGGACCTCGGTGTGGTGTCGCTGTGCCGCTGTGGTGGGGTGGGGTCAGCAAGGAGGGGATCAGGCGCGGGGGGGCGGGGAAGCAACGGGTGTGTGCAACTCGTAGTCACGCTGTGCTGCTAAGTGTAGCAGTACCCGAAGAGTAGTCATCTTCGGGGTCAGTGCTAAGGTCTGAAAGAAGTCAACCCCCTCACTCTGACTGAAGCGAGGAGCAACGTAGCGCGCCTTGAAGACAGGCGGCTCTCCGAGAGGGCGCTTCACCTTGAAGAGACATCAGCCATCGACTACGTTCACCCCAGGTGGGGGAACTGTGTCGACGAAGGTACCGGTGGATCTCCAAGATGCCATCTCCTGCTCCATGGCAACTATCCACTAAGAGGCTCAGGGTCCCGAGGTGGCCTCGGCGTAGGTGCGAGGGGTCAGGATATCAAGGGCGTCTAGGTCAACCTCAGGGACTAGCAGCATGGAACAGAGATGACGAGCGGCCTCTGACTGGAAAGCAAGCTCGTACTGTCTGTCCTCCAGGACGTCAAAGCCAAGGGCAGCCACACCCCCGACGGACGGAGGGCAGGCAGGGTCAGACACCAGAGCGGTGGCATAGTCAAAGCGGCGGGTAGCGGCGAAGTCAGCGACAGCAGCGACAAGAGCGTCAAGGCACGAGACAGGAACAGATGGGTCGGTAAGGAGGAAGGCAATGACACGAGGAACAAGGGGACGCGCGGCACGGAGGAAGTCAGAAAACGGAGGCGGGGCCAGAACGAGTGACGACGGAGGAGGAGACGGGAGGAGCGGAGGAGCACGAGACGCGTGAGAGCAAAGCAACATAGGGTGAGAACGCAGAACAGGGGGGGTAGGACGAGCACGAGACGGACGACGAGCTCAGACGTGAGACGGAGGAGTCGGGTCAGGAGAGAGGGGAGGAGACACAGGAGGAGAACAAGGAGGTTAACGAGCCGGAGAAGAGTCCACGGGAGGAAAAACAGGGCCGTAGACTGGCAGAGGAGGAGGCGGCGGCGATCGAGGAGGCACGGGCGGGCGGTCAGGAGAAGGAAGGCCGAGGAGGTGAAGAGCGGACATTGGCGGTGACTACGACGACTACTGCCCGACGCCAACCCCAGAACCTCAGCAGGACCACGTCTCCCTCCGTGAAACGCCACGCCAGCACCCCCAAAACGGGAACCCGCTCTAGTACCCGCTCCGGCACGCTCCCAAGCACCCCCAGAACGCAAAAACCCCAGCCGCGGTGACGACGACGGCGGCGGCTGTGGCGGGGACGGCAGCTACGGAGGCGGTTGCGGCTGTGACAGCAACGGTGGCGACAGGGGAGGAGAGACCGGGGCAGGGATAGGCGGGGGAAGTGACTCCGCCGAGCCGCGAGAGTCCGCAGACCCCTCGACAGGGACAACCGACGGGAGGGGGGTGACGTGAGACACACCAGACGGGGCAAGGCGGGGAGGGGGGGGGAACCAGGGCGACTGGGGGAGGGGGGGGAACCAGGAATTGGCGAGGAGTGACCGGGGGACCACGGTGGGGAAAGCGGTGGTAGAAGGAGGTGGACCGGGGGACCTAACCTACACTGATACCATCTCAGAGTTAGAAAGATTGACTAGAATGAGAGTATACAAAGGTATGTAGCTAGTGGGTTGTACTCTCTATGGCAAGACCCTATGTAGTCTACTAAACATACACAAATGTGTTTGACACTAACCACTGGGACAAAAAAGGATATCATCAGGAGGGTTAGGCTCCATATATCCACCTTCCCCTAGGAAAACCTCCCCACCAGTACCCTCCCCTTAGAGACAGAGAGAGGATTGACAGGGTTATCCCAGTGCCTCGACACACCCTCCCACTGGGATAGCGTGTACTCCAGGAATTGAACCTTGGATGGCTGTAATACCAAGTCATGAAGTCACCAGTCCTAACCACTGGGACAAGAAGGGATATCATCAAGAGGGTAAGGCTCCATATATCCACCTTCCCTGAGGAAAGCCTCCCCAGTACCCTCCCTAGAGATAGAGAGAGGATCGACAGGGTTATCCCAGTGCCACGACATACATGTATATATATATACATATATATATGTATGTGTGTGTTTAGGCTAAGTAGGTGTGCTACTCATACTGGTTCTTACTGTAGAGGAGACAACTCTTCTCTAGTACCTCTCTCTTCTCTAGTCAACACTATTTCTCCTCACTAACCTTCTCCCTAGCTAAACCCTATCTCTACACTGAGCTGCATGTCGCATGCTAGGCACTGCCCCTTGTGTAGCATAAGGGGTGTGTACTATACATTTTGCACTGCATGTATAGTGATTAGGCTAGATGGGTTCGTGCTCTTAGGGAGTACAACACCAAACCTTCACCACCATGGTATGCCTTGCTAGAGTTCACCTCGCTACTTCAATATCCCATCCATACAAAATAGTGGTAAGATGAGATGTTCATAAATTACACACCATCCAGCACCACTGAACCAACGCAAACTCCTTGCGTCCACTTTCCCACCGCACCAAACCGAAACGAACCACTTAAGCATGGGTAACAATTTCTCCTCTACCCAACTTCATCAGGAGCAACCAACTCTACACCACCCGAGCTGACACTGCCGTACCACCCACCCTTAAACGAACATTACTGCAGCGCCAACCACCAGAGCCGCCGCAACCGACAGCAGCGAAACGGGGGACGCAGCCCCCGACTTGGGCGGCGGAGGAGGGGAAGGGATGGCAGGACTGGGAGGCGGCACTGCTGGCGAAGGCAAGGCTGGGGAAGTGCTGGGAGACTCAGGTGGGGGAGCCTCGGAGGGAGTTCCCTCAGCGGGAGCAGGCGCAGCAGGCGAGGGGGAAGTGCTGGGAGACTCAGGTGGGGGAGCCTCGGAGGGAGTTCCCTCAGCGGGAGCAGGCGCAGCAGGCGAGGGGGAAGTGCCACCAGTGGAAGGCGCGGGGGGGGCGCTGGGGGGTTCCACAGAGTCGTTGGAAGGCGGGGGGCCAGCGCCGGGAGGTTTCCCGGACCCAGTGGAAGGCGCGGGAGCGGCGCTGGGGGGGTTCCCGGACCCGGTGGAAGGCGCGGGAGCGGCGCTGGGGGGTTCCCCGGACCCAGCAGATGGCGGGGGGGCAGCAGCCGCTGTGCAGGCGGCGGTGTCGATGGGGCGGTTGATGTAGGCCGCATACTTGACTGTATCCACCGCGCCCGCGGGGCACTTGGGGGAGACGACGAGCGGGTCGCAGCAGGGGGTGTAGGACGGGGTGGGTGTAGCACCCGTGAAACACGAGCCCTGGTGAGGAGAAAGGACAGGGAGAGGAGGGGGAGGGGGTGGGGAAGGGAGTGTTTGAAAGGGAAGAGAGGGGGCAAAGAAAGTGCCGATGATAAATCTGACAGCTTTTGGGTCTACACAAAAGCCGCCTCATCACAATGTCGTTACAATGCAACACAGCACTATTGAGTTGACTCAGAAGACAACTGAGAGGATGATAGGGAAAGAATCCCATGTCTTCACCGACACACAGCACCACCATGCTCAATAATAACACATGACCTTGAGAACGTTTGCCACCACCAAATTCATTGATAGTACACAGACAATGCGCTGATGATGCGCTGATGATGCGCTGATGATGCGCTGATGATGCGCTGATGATGCGCTGATGATGCGCTGATGATGTGGTGATGATGCGCTGATGATGCACTGATGATGTGCTGATGATGCAGTGATGATGTGGTGATGAGCAGGCAAGCAGGCTTACAGGGGCGACGGTGATGTTGAAGTTGTCAACGCCCATGACCTTGACCACGTTGGCCACCACCATGCTCATCATGGCCAGCGGGTCAAGGATGAGCTCACCCAGCAAGAACCCGCTGACTGCAGGGAAGGGGGGAGGAATGGGGGAGGAAGGGCGCTGAACATCGCACCCAGCATGAACCCGCTGACTGCAAGAGGAGGAAGGGCGTGGAAGTGGAATGTCGCCACCACCATGCCCATCATGGATTGCGCATGATGGCCACACCCAACGCAAAGCCACTGACTGAAGACGGGGGGAGACATACGCGTGCCTGTGCATATGGGAGATGTACGCGTTGTAGGAGTTGGTGCGTAATAGCATTATAGTTGGTAATCAATTGTTGGTGCTCTATGAGTAACAGTTGACGCATTCAATATCTCTTGGAGCCATGAAGGGCTCTTACTCGAGACGCCTTTGCACTCGTCGTAGGTCGCAGTTGCGAATTCCGGGCAGACCGACATGATGATGTTCCCCCCGGTCTTCGTGACGTAGGTGCCCGAATCTGCGAAGGAAAAAAACAAAAAAAAACAAAAAACAAAAAAAAAACAAAAAAAAAACCAAAAGAGACAAAAACACGCAGTAAATTTGTGTGAGAGGCCTTTCGCGTATGATTATGCTCGCCCGTGGCGCTGATCGCGCCGAGCCCGCTGAGCACGACGGCCAGCAAGCGCCGTAGAAGCTCTCAGGAAGATGTTTCTGGAGGTGCACTTCCCAGCAACATGGATACGTAGTTACGGAGGAGCACAGTTTTGAGACGTCTGAAAACTACGCTTCTATTGGACAAATTATACACTGTTTTGAGACGTCTCAAAGCGTGGCAATGTGGCGACGTTTATGGGGTGCACTTTCCAGCCGCATGGCGACGTGGTTGCGAAGGAGCGATTGCCTTCGTTACACGTGGTGCCGCAGACATCGGCTCGACCAAAGCTCGTTGAACAAAAACATCATGCTAACTGCACTTGCGTTTATACATGGTAACGAGGCTGCATAAAAGGAAACGCACTTGCCTGGGTTACAATTGGTGGCGCAGACGATCGACTCGATCATGAGCATGCACTTGGGATTCGCCTTGAACGCGTCGCACACCTGACGGTGATTCAGTGAATCGGGACATTGGGAGACCGCCAGACATGGGGAGACCACGGGAAAACGACAAAAGAAGAAAAAAAAACTCGATCATTAGCATAATGAGCATGCACTTGGCTTGGGGCTCGCCTTGAACGCCTCCCACACCTGACCAGGATCCGACGAAACGGGACACAGGGAGGAGAACGACGAAAGAAGTCTCGATCGTTAGCGCGCACTCGTCAAAGCCCTGACCGCGCACGCACCTGCAGGGGGTTGGGGGAGAAAAAACGGGCGGAGAGGGGTAGGAAAGTGGGGTGGGGAGAGGGAGGGGAAGGGGGGGATTCTCGGGAAATAAAAACATACGACCTCCGGGAGCGGGTGGAGGAGGTGGCATCTCGAGCAGGAAACAAGACGGCGGTCAGATCTTGGAACCCTCGACCGTTTTCAGCGGGTAATGCATGCCATTTGTGGCTGCATTGGCTGCACTTGCTGCATTGGCTGCACTGGCTGCATAGGCTGCAGATATGAAGTCCATCTACGGACACGGTCATGGCTAACCTTGGAAACCTTGCATCGGCGGAACCCCGCTGCGGCGGAACCCCGCATCGGCGGAACCCCACATCGGCGGAACCCAACATCGGCGGAACGGCAGACTTCGCGAGGTTGGTTTTCGGTACGCGGTGACTTCACACTTTTGGATCTTCAACTTACATAAATTTGTGCTACTCTTAGCCGAGTGTCGGATCGATAACCAGGACTCGGCTTACCGTGAGGTTCGCGCCGATGAAGCTGCCGAGGGCGGGGTTGATCTGGTTGACCACCTCCGCGAGATTCGACGACACGAGCTGAAGCGCCACACTCGTGTCCAGGCAGTCGGAGCAGCACGACAGCTCCGCCGCCGCCGGGCACCGCGACGGCGGAACGACGGGCTTCTTCGGCGCAAGCCTCGTGAGCGCGCAGAGCGGAGCGACGGCGGCCTTTACTGCGTGCGCGGAAGGGCATAGCGCGAGGAGGGCGACGGCTGCGAGAACAGCAAACCGCGTTGAATGGGCCATGGCGTCGGTCGGGCCTAGTAGCAGCCCGTCGGTTGGTGGGGTGGTTGGTGTTTGCCTCACCGTGTAAGGCGCACGCACCCTGTTCGGGCCTCTACGGGCGTAGAGGACGGGAAGAAGGGGCGAGGTTGACGGGCGCAGGGGCAATGCCTGTGCTGCGGGGGACGCAGGTGCGAGAGCGGAGAGCGCCTGTACCTGCTAGCTCTGAGCGACGCAGTGCAAGAAAGGATCGGCCCGCCGGCTTTAGCTGGGGAGACTGTCCCACCCCACCTCCCCCACCTCACCCACTCACCCAGAAAGGGGCGGGGCAGACCAGACCTGACCAGTGATCAGACCAGGGGGAGAGGGGAACGGGGGGGGAACGACGCGACGCGCCCAGCGGTGATAGGCTGAACGGCGAAACGAATGGCAAAGGGGAAAGCGGGAGGAAGCGGGGAAGGAGCACGACGCTCGAGGCACACGTGCCTGATTGGAGAGGGAAATTTTGTGACTGTAAAGGGCGCGCAACTGATTGGGAGGCAGTTGTGGGCTTACGATTGGACTTTTTGTAGGTGCCCCTCGGAATCGATCTGGACATCATCTGGAACATCAGGGCGTGTCCAGCACGTTTGTTCACGATCATGAATCCAAGGTTCAGCACGATCATTCACGGTCGAGAACGGTACCTGAGCTCAAAAGTCTTGGACCGTGGGGCACCAGACTTTACCCTACCCAGCCGCTAAATACGGACCTTCCACTCGGCAAATCAAGAAAGAACAATATAAGGGCGTGTCCCAAGAGGACGTTTCAGGTTCAGTAAGGTACCCCAAGTTTCAAAGTGGTGGATCAGAAATACCGTTTTCTACCATGCTGGAACCTACAAAACCGCATACGGTATATGCGGGAAATACTCTTGTCACATGCCCTAATCAGGGAGAAAGGACAATCGAGAATGAACCAATACTATTCGCATGGTTGCCCGTGGACACTGGGGCCTCGTGAACAGAAAAAATCGGCACGGCACCGCTTACTTCAATATGGGAACATGAACCCTTCAGTAGCCTGGGTCTTGGCTACAGCTCAGGCTTGTGGGACACATGTATCGAGTAGAAACATCTAATGAGGCTCATTTTCATTTACAACGTTAATTTTGATACTAGCTCTAAACATGATGGATTCCATGTCACCCACTCACATGATGCCATAATCCATGGACAGGTATCAATATGCATTTAAGGTGTATGAATTACAACATGACATTTCCTATCTTAGAGGGTGGCCAAAGTAGCCTTGGTGGGACGTCACTGGCCTCCAAAGCGGGTTACCACAACCGTACACGCTACAATGACGATTTTTGTAAGGAATTACGATTCCTTACTGGGGCTCGCCACAGCTCCGCAGGCTCGGCCCTCAAGTCACGCGCCAAACCAGCCCTCGTCGACCTTTTCGGCCCCAAACTGATCCCGAATCGCCCCGAACCCATTTTGACCCCGTCACCATCGGGACTGTCGAGCCCTTGACTGGTCCAACTCTCGACATTCAACCCTGGTCAACTCGCACTATATAAGCCCTCGGCCTCATTTCTATCGTCATTCTGTAATCACTTTTTCCCTATAGTATTCTGCGTTATACTCTGAGTTATAATTCATAATAGCTGGTATAAGAGCTACGTTTCCTGCCCATTAGGCTTCCGGTAGGGGAGCAGATCCTATCGGGGAAGGGGGCGGAAGGATGCTGATGGCGAGCGGACGTCGCGGAAATTAATTGCGTGGGCGTTGCCGATGCCGTCAGATGATGTCCGATGGACGGCTGGGATTGGCCGGTCCTCCCCTTCCCTGGGCGTAGACGGAATTATTTCCCGTCGAAGAGTGGGCAACGTTTTCGCCGTGTTTTTCAGGTGTGTTCGTTAGAGCTTTCGTAATTTTCAAGTGTTCGGACGGAGTCTTCGGATTGGCTTCCGAAAAAAGCGAGACCTCGGCGCTATTCACCACGACGGCCATCTGGAGGTGATGACGCTGTGCTGGAATGAGTGTGCTCAGCGAGGGCGACTTCCCGCGTGGGGAGGCATTTTTTGTGGACCAGCGATTCATACCCCTACGATCAACGGAAACGGAGGCCACCACCCCTGGGTGTGTATTAAGTGTTTTTTCCACCAGTCGCCGAATGCGTTAACTGCCAGGAGCTGAAGCAGTGGGAGAAGTACGACGGGAGTACTGGAGCTGATGGGTTAGCGGCGTTCGGGCTGCTACTCGCTCAGCTACGTCGCCCAGAAATCACCATTCCCACCAGGCAACAGTGCCGACTAATTAATCGACGGCTTCTGGATGAATAAGGGGGGTGAACATGCGAACTACACTGTGCTGATGGAGTTATTGTTGTTGTGGAGTTGAGGGTTTTTACCTGATGCAGCAGAAGGAGGTTCCGACTTTTGCAGGTTAAACCGGTTTCCGACGGAGGAGGGAGCTGTCCAGCGGTCAGTAGGCGAGCTCGTTAAAGCTCCTCTGACTAGAAGCGTGCGCACTCCTATCTTTGCGGATTCTCCAAGCTAGTTAAGCAGCGGCGAAGCGGTTTTGGGTAACTTGCAGCTACCGCGAGATGGGTGAACGTCTGCACAGTCAGCTGGCACGGGTACCAGCGTATTTTTAAGTTGGGTAACTGCTGGGCGGAGATCGACGGCGTATGATGCGCATTGACCCTGATCGAAGGCCAAAACATCATGCCGAGGCGATGGACTCCGGTAAACCCTAATATAAAGGGTTCAGTTCATGCGTACAGCTGGTGGAGAAATCGTGGGGGCGCTGCTAAAGGACGCTGTGATGCCTGGGCATTTTTATGGGTAGCTGTGAAGCGGAGTTACGGTATTTGCAAAGTACCGTGTGGTTCCGACATTTTCGGTGGGTTTGAGGAGCAGTTCAAGAGTTTAAAGCTGGAGTTGTGCCCGCTATCTTCAAGAGTACGAGCGACATCGACTGACATTTGCGGAGTGTTTTGGTTGTATGGAGCGGAGGGAGAGCAGTAGCTGTTTCGGTTCTTCCCGATTTTTTCGGCGTGTATGGACAAAGAAGCTGGTGCAGCTGTCATCAATCGACCCCGGGTTTCGTTCGAGGTTTTTCAATGGAGCGGGATTCGTATCGGTTACTCTCCATCGTCATCGTCGTCAACCTCTCGCCATCACCCGCTACCGCCTCCATCGTCAATTCGCCTGATGCGCAAGACAGTGTGAACACGACCCCGCCTCGCCAGCCGAATCAAAACAGCAGTATCGGATTTACAGAAAATTTGGCAGCAGTACTGTGGAGCTGTGTTAGGGCCAGCTCGCAAGTAGTGTTTGATTTATGAAGATTTTTTGAGTTCGTGTGGGAGTCTTCTGGAGAAGTAGTTGTGAAATTTCCGGACCTTCGACGAGGTTTACCCTGAAGACAATTTACCTGGAGCGGATTTTGGAGTCCTCATAATTCACGTTTTTAGTGGCTAGGATATATTTCAACGGCATCTTTGAAGCTGAGTATGAGACTTTTACGCTGCAGCGTGGGATTATTTCGATTACCCGGAAGCATTGTGTGTCCTCGGGTTCTACTTGGGAAATTGGGAGCTGTTTCTTCTTGGAGGGGGGAGAAGGGCAGCTGTGCTGCAATTTTCCGTCTTCGGCGTGTTCCATTATCCATTTTCGACCGACATTCGTCACCGTTACGCTTCCGCGCCTCTGTTCGTCACCTCATTGATGGAGTTCGCTAAATTTCGTGGGACACGGACGCGTGCTCTCGCATGTGACTCGAACGACCTCGCGTTTGATGAACGGGTTCTACATTTTATCGACCATCACGTCATTCGGCAGTCATCATGATCATACTGCAACGCGTCATCATTTCCCGCCCACGCGACAGTTAGCTATTCAACAGCACCAGTCATCTTCATCACTTCGTCACTTAGGAGTTTTTGACATTGCCCATTCGGTCAGCTGAAGAAGTCGATTATCTTCAACGACCCCGATTGATTACGATCGTTGCGACATGTCTCAGCCGTTGGATGGAGATTTACCTCATGAAGTCTCGTCATCATTATGCTCATCAAGATTCAACGATTAGGATCTACCGCGATCGTTTCGACGCTCTCTGACCATCGATTACAGTTCGACCTGAAGACCTCGTCATGCTGGCGTAATCATTACACTCGTCACAGGGCTGAAGACTTACAGTCACATCGGGGATTACTTTTAATGACTGTTCGGCCTCGATAAAGGGAGTGCCTTCCTTTAGAAAGTGGGAGAGTGTAAGGAATTACGATTCCTTAATGGGGCTCGCCACAGCGGGTACACGCGAACCTCTCGGTTCCGCAGGCTCGGCCCTCAAGTCACGTGCCAAACCAGCCCCCGTCGACCTTTTCGGCCCCAACCTGATCCCGAGTCGCCCCGAACCCATTTTGACCCCGTCACCATCGGGAGTGTCGAGCCCTTGACTGCTCCAACTCTCGACATTCAACCCTGGTCAACTCGCACTATATAAGCCCTAGGCCTCATTGCCATCGTCATTCCATAATCACTTTCCCCTATAGTATTCTGCGCTATACTCTTAGTTATAATTCATAACAAATTTTGGGATGGCCAAGGTAGGGTTCCCAAAATAATGTAATCATGATTGACGACAAATACAAATTTTTAAACAATCTATCGTGCAGTAAAAAAACTGTCCTCAAAACATTGAAGACGAATTTGCGAAAACATGGGAGACTCGCGAAGGAAATAGTTGAAGACGCGAGCCACCCGTTCCCCTCAATCCAGCAGTGGACATCGTGCTATTGATATGGTAATTGTCAACTTATACATATATTGCATTGTGGAAGTCTTAGAGTAGTAGAATGATTAGGAAACAAGGGTACACGGTGGTTTTGACCTAATGAGTTGTACTCTCTAAGGCAAGCTTCTATCTAGGTTATAGTTGTCAACTTAGACATATGCTTATATGTAGAAGTTATAGGCTAGATAGGTTTGTGTTCATAGAGGGTACAACTCCAACCCTATATCCTCCCCTGTACTACCCTGTTCTATATATTTCTGCTATTCTTATATGGTATCATAGTAGGTTAGGTCCGCCCACCCGCTTCTGCCCTCGCCCTAGCCTACCGCCCCGCCGGCCCTTAGCGCCCCGACGACTTCTTGCGTGCCCGCTGGCCCCTTTGCGCCCCTCGCGCCTTGCCCGGCCTTTGCGCCCCGCTGGTCCCTTCTGCGCCCCGCC